ATCAGAAAAATATCAACACTGGAGCTTATGGGAAATCGAGTTCGCCGCTTTCATGATGTCATTGTTAATGACGCTTTATTTCAAAATGTTTCCTTGTTATAAACACTGTTCAACCACTGTTCAACCTTAGATAAGGAAAGGTTCTAAATGTCTTCACTTGCATCACACACAAAGAAAGCAACAAAAATCTGGGCAATGGGCATAGCACCACTCTTCCCGCGGGGTGTTTTCTACAGGGAGGACTGCAGAAAAGACCAATCATTGTTGATAGTCATTAGATGTGTCAATCTCACGAGCCTCTAGGTAGGCAGAAGCAACGACCGGCCATTAGCTGAGTGCCATACTATCCAGCCATGATTGACCGTTCCGGGATGTAACTAATTTACACATCACTTGACTTGGGCACCAATAGAAATCTACTCACGTCCTTCACTTTACGTAGTCATATGCCGGCCGGTTCTCAGATAGGTCGGTGTAAAATCCTGGACTTTCCAACTACTGAGGATATTGCCTACAATTTGTAAGTAGTAGCTGGTGTATTCCAACATCCATCTGAGTCCTGAATGTTGAACATCCGAGAAGCACCGTATCCATGCTAAGTCCTTGTTTGCAATCATCAGATTTCCGAGAATCTCTAGGAAGGTTCGAGCGTTGCAAGTTTTGTTAGCAGCTGACAAATACACCCTTGACCGTAATGATAAGTGAGGCCATAGCTTGCTGAAGTAGAACTCAATCATGCGCCTAACGAGTGACTAGTGGCCGAATGACATTATGTTCAAGACCTAACCTGAACGCAACGAAATTCGATTCTTCTTAGATATTCTTGAGATGTCCAATTTGCTCATTCCTAGAAGAAATGAAACTGTTTCAAAGTGCTTGCCCTCCTTTCACCACAGGTTTGCTAAACTGATGCGATGAAAGCTTAAATTAAATTTCTCACTTTCCTCAATACTATTAAACTTTAAGACGATGGACAGAAGTCCCACAGTTTACGGAAATTTAATCCAATGAGTGGGCATCCGCTCACACTTACATACTAATCGTCTTGAGAAACTTTGAAACGGAGGTTGCCTTTACTAGTATTGTGGTAGGGACTAGCTAAGGATCACTTCTGATATGTCACCCCATGTATATGGTTTAAGTACTACTGAATAAACGGATTCTGAGCGGTTTAGACAAGTTTGAGGCACCCATCAGTCTACACACATCTAGGTATGCTGAGGTTTCCTTGACGGCTTTAGAATCAATTCGCAATGTTAAAGTACAAATCTGTTGTTGGAAACAGTTCATAAAATCGTCCTCCAGTGCGCTTCTTGGAGTGATGCAAACCCTATCGTCTACCGTTTCATTACGGTTTCAATTCCAGAATCCGAATGGCTCAACTTGTCATCAGGGCGCTGGCTATTTTCTCTCGTGGGGACGAGTGACAACAGCTTGTACCGTTTTTTTTAACTCTGGGGTCAAGGTCATACCCAGCAACTCCAACTAGAGATAGGTTTGTTTCCAACGGCTTCAAAACATGATCTTCATCCGTATGTCCTATAAATGCTACGTACCTCAGAACAGAGCATTCACCACGAGGTACATCACCAATTGCATCGCTTAGCAAGTGTCCCCGAACACCGCACCCATCAACCGCAACGGTGGTGAGGTACTAGTTTATAGTTATACTGATCACCCGGACTCCCTTGATGATGTTGTTTTAGCTAAACTGTACTTCTAGGGATATACAAACCAGCCAGACCAGGATGGGTAACTATGAAGGTACAATAATGCTATCAAATGTGGAACTGCTGGAATTCCTATAGCAGTCGAATATTTACATTAATGCAAGCAGTATGCAGTAAATTAATAAGGAATAGAATTCGTCCCCAAGGTATTATGGCTGCAGGATTTTCATACCACCATTAATCACATGAATTGGTATACAACTAAGGACTTTGTTCTTTGATCTCATAGGTTTGCCATTCGCAAAACTTGTGTTCCCGTAGGTTTGTTATGATTCTGGAGCTCAGTATGTGCATCTTGAGGCACACATTCGCCAATTAGGGTGTCGGAACGCCCATTCACCAGCTGATTCAAGTCGAAGGCCCGTTCGGAATTTCCTAACAATTAATCTTCAGCATATGGATTTGCCATGAACGTGAAGCTGCAGTGCTTCCATATTTATAAAGGTGCCAAAAGTGACGCGGGAATACATTTATAGAGAAAATATGAGTGGCAAACAATACTCAGTAAGTAGTTGTCCATAAGATGCCAAACCAAACGGGAATGCAAACCTCAGTACGGTAGCAATGCTCCAGGAAGAAGGGTTCATTTTGAGGTCTAACAAAACGAACGCTAATGGTTTATGAATAGCCTTGTATCTCACATGCATGCGATTTGTAAATATAGTTCAAATAAAGTAGGACTGGCCTAAAAACTAAGCGTACTAAAACTTCACCCTGTAGATGAAGTCGGTCCATGCTGAGTAAACGAGAAACAATCTGCAGATGCTTCATCCTTCATCATTATCAGTGCACATTACATGAAATTCAGAGTTTCGAGCCCGCGATCCCAGAGCTAACTGTCTGATCACTCAACCATTCGGTCACGAGCAGTGATTAACAGTATGACTGGCTATCACTGGCCGGTAGTTTACGAGGACGAAACGGAGATATGGGCTACTGGTAATTCCGAAAATGGATTTGACAGTTGTGCATTGCTTGTCGGCTTTAGTGCATTGGCTTGCTTCCCTAAGAGGACAAAACCTTCATTGAACATTACCGAATCCCCACAAATATTCATTACACTATTTGAAACCGTTTTCATCAACCAGTCTCCTCTTAGAACTGTTGCCGTTGTTACAACAAACGAACACGTCTTATTGGCTTTTGCAGCGCCACTTGAGAGAAATGCGCCAACTGAAAGTTCCTTAACTTGCTCGACGAAAACCAGTCATTTTGTCAGCCGTATAGCCTAACCTAAAAAAAAATCGTCATGTGCCATCACATGATGCCACACAATTTGCCAGAATAAAAGAGATAGGTTCCTTGTACGGTAGTGGTATTATTCAGGTTTGACAAGCACATGACGGTTACCCAATGAATCCGCAATCTTTGTACCAAACGATCAACTATCCTTGATAACTGTCTGATTGAAAATTACCGATGTCTTTGTTCCAGTGCGAAGATTCATTCTGGAATTACTATTCCGATCACCGAAGATTAAAATTGTTAGTCCTGCACACAAGTTCTTATTGTTTTATCTTCTCAGGTAAAGGTTCGTGACGCGTATTTTGCTTAAAAAGGTCAAAATCAGGGTTAGACGATGACTGGTTTAATCGCTTTTTTTCAGGAATTACGAATTTTGAAGCGCAAGGCTATATAGAAACTTTGTCAGAGATCAAGCAAAAACTAGTGCTGACGCAGCGGAGTGAGTTACACGCGAACTATGGAGAAGCTTTACGATCTTTTCTCAGTGGAAAGCACTCCACAGTCCACCGCGGAAACAACAGTCGCCAAAACATCTATTTTAATCTACCTGTGAAAATTACTATACCAAAAGCAGTGTAGCAATTAGTGCAATTTTTTCTGTTATCATTTCTTTTGTGTGACAATGTGTTTTAGAACACTGGAAGGAAACCTCCGGAATACGATTTTATTTATATGGCGCTGGCACGCGTGGCCTAAAATTCGCATTTTGTGAGATTAACTAGAAAAAATATAGCTGATCTCACATAAATAATGGTGCAAAAGTTGAGTATCTTTGATTTAAGTTATTATAGGATACTTTCAGAGATTGTAAACCAAGCCCAAAGCTTACGATTTCTAAAAAAAACTTCAGCCAAATTGTGATATGAAACGGTGATCAAACACCTTAATTTAAGTATTTCGAAATGTTTCCGAGTCTGTCAGTTGCTTTTCCTCATTTGTGAAGCGTTTTGCGACTACCCCGAAAGCTGAAAGAGAGGGAAAGCTGTAAAGCACCCGGCACATTAAGCGAAGTTTCGAATTGTTCTGGTTGCACGGTGTATCTGCTCTTTGTTAATTTGTATTCAAGTCCTGAGAAATTTTCATCTCTTCAGTTGCACGTGGGGAATTCCGGTCACGCATGGGTCTAATGGGTTGAACCCGCTAGGTTATATGTTGGTCGTGGTCACGGAACCAGATTGCTCGTCTTGCTAAAATCCAATTTTTGTCCCTACTGGGAGGAAGAAATCCATTCCTAACATTCATCGTTAGTAACCATTTTAATTAGAGCGTACTTGTCAAACAGTTACACAGCTTGCTTGTACAGGTCAAACACAAGGTAATGAAATCATATGTACATATAATAAATGAGAGTCAGCTGGGTTCCAGAGTGTCTCCCTTCAAAACCAAAGCGCTTATCAACTGAGTATATTTGTTGAAATCTGTCCAGGATGGGTTGAAGTAGAGCATATGTTTGACAGAAACTCTGGGACTGCGTCTACATTATGAGCCTCAAGAAGGGCGAGGCTGGCCGTGATCTGTAGAATAGTTTCCAGCACATTACGTCAGGAATAATACTTTGTTGATTCATCATTTTACCCCTCATCACTCCCCATTTATAGCACTTTACTAGAAATCCAATTGCAAAAAACTTGTTTCTGAGAGAACGTTGCCACAGAAATTTATTCTCTTATTTATATACTCAGCACTTAAGTGTTTTGGGTGTCGAATTAGCGCGTGATATTTCAAATTGAAAACGACCACCTTTCCGTGCTATCCATGCCTTTCCAAAGTCCCCTTTAACTGACTACGAGTTGATCTGTTCTGTAGAGATTTTACACTGACCCAAATAAACTCTGTGAACTTGTGTGTAATCTTTGCTCCATTTTCTTTGTCGGTTAACCTGGCGAATTATCGATCCGGTGTCTGTAAAAGAGGGTGTGTGCATTGTTATATGACACTTCCTTTCCTTCTTGACAGCACATCAATCTAGACTAGGAATAGATACTGGTGGAACTAACCAGGCACACCAATAAATCTGAAACTTACATCACGTGTTCTGACGCTTGAATTACGATAGCTCGACATGACTCCTCTGGGTCGGTTATCTCACTACCCGGTGTTTCTGTAAGACAGTGGTCTGTGCGGCATTGTTGTTCAGGTGCACCGAACGAAAAAATCACTGGTGCTGATAAAGTGCGAAAGATGAAAGTTTTGCTGCGGCTTTACTGTCAGATTGGGTAGATTCAGGTATGCGGAAAGGGATACATCAGTGCCGTCACACGGTCGGTGCACAAGAGACCTTATCCACAATTGTGACTCGAAAAGTTCCCATGGCTCCTCACATTTGCCGGTTTTGAATGAGTGATTGTGTTCAGATCACGGGTGAGGATCAACCGATTGCGTACACGTGCAATGCGGTAAGAATAAACTGTGATTTGTTTCAAGCATGTGGGCACATTGAAATGCGTGGTCGGCAAACCAAACTGACTGATGTTTCACTTCGACTAAATATGTGTTTTGGGGAAACTGGACAGTTTGCCGTATCGACCAACGCAAATCGATTCAAGGCAACAGGGTGCAAAGGCACTGGTGTGCACAGACGAATGGGCGTGTGGTAGTGCGACGGGGTGCACAACAGTGTGCGCTTGTATTAACATACGCATATACAGATGTGCTTGTGCATATATTTTCCCCGTACTTGGATGTCGTCAAACACAAGCAAGGAAGAGGCTATAGTGTTTAGGACGTCCTCGCATGTTCGTGTACGGTTTAACAGAAGCAGCACTTTCCTGGTAGGCGATATGAAATTATTCTGGCTTCGGCCCACGTTTATGCTAAGCTGCAATGCAGGCCACCAGCCGTATACAGCTGTTTGGACAAACGATTTTTGTTTGTTTTTCAGAAGATTCTCTTGTATATCAGAAAAAGTAACTACTCAAAACCATGAAGTGAGAGCTGGAGTCTGCCTAAAGCAAATATTAGGGCGATTTCTTTCCTTCTTAGAACACAGGAGTCTGAACGAAATCCAAAGTAATCTAAGTAGTATGTCGCGATAAATCATGCGGCAGACACGGATCCTGAAATCGATTGCAGCCGGATCATCCGAGGAAAATGGTCAGTGCAAAAACCGTGTGCCACAAGAAATTCAAGAAAAACGGCCGGGACACCATTTTTGTAGAACGGTGAAAATGTCAGCATCACTACACAAACAACGAAATGTTAGATTTGTTCATCCATGGACTAGGTGGACTTAACACAATAACCAAGTCAAAACTAACGGTGCTTCAGTCATCGCTGTCACCTGGTGGGTGTCTAAAAACAAAGCCCATATGTAATGCCCTTTCTTTGACTCAGAATACACGAGAAACAATTCTTCACTCAGCTAATTTCTTGTATTCCCTATTGTGATTGGTTTCTAACGTTGAGTTCAGAAACAACCTGGCGAGCTGGACTAGTTGCAGTTGATCCTTACGTGGGAACTATGTGAGCAGTTGCGAATGACGTGGAATGATTCACTCTGTTTGTCTTCCCGGAATAATGATATTGGAGTGTCACATTTAGGCTTCTCATATATTTCTCATCTACGTTTTGATAAAAAATGTTGAATTCTCATGTCACGTGATATTCACCTGTAGCACCTTTTTGGTGCCTAGCTGCCATGTTATCTGAAGGAGACTCGAAGGTTACCAGGTTGCCCCAAAGTAGGTAAGAGTAGACGACATGCCAGGGGTTGGATTCGAATCATAAGCCTTTCGGTCAGTAAGTTCGCGCCTTGGCCACTGAACTGTCTTGAGCTTATGTCATTCATAACCTGCAAAAACTGAAAACGAACAAATCATATACTGCCAATATTTCCTGTATGGCAATCGCTCAGCATTTTTTTACACGTGCATCGACCTACTAATAGAATTTCGAATGAAATGATATAAATTAGAAAGTTTCTCAGGCTGTTAAGGCAATCTTCATCTTTGGATCAATACCAGTGACTATCCTTGTGATAGAGGGCTCCTATTTACTGCATCCTTTCTTGAGGACTCTCAATAACAATGAGAAATGGTAATCTTTTTTTAAGATTTAATTTATCGGATAACGTTGCGAAGCTAGAATTTGGATCAGATTTATTTTTGTATCCAAGAAATAAACTAATTACAGACAGACAGCCAAACATATTTGGTTAGCTATACGCTGTTTTGTTACATTCTCCCGGGTGAGAAATACTACTTGTATCCTTCGAGTAAGTTCATGAACAATGAAGTGCGCACCCACATGAGCGTGTCGACCAATATCAGCTAGTTGAACCCAGGTTTGATAAGCAAACCACGCTAGCATAACGCTGATAAGGGACATGTTACTGACCAATCCAGTTACACACCTAGTATATAAGTAGTTTCCGTAGTGTGAATGAAATGAATGCTCATCGGAATTAGTTCGCACTGAGGCACAATGTGCACACTTCGATAGTGACAAATCTACCGGCTAGTTATCCATCAGCATCTCATACATTTTTAATAGCTGAACAAATAGTTTTATGGCCGTATACACGATGTTCGGCCACAAGAATGGGTGCGCCAGTGTCTCTTCCTCGTTCAACTAGGTTTAACCATACAAAGAATTTCCGTCAAGCAAAAGTGGGTCATGTTTCAGCCTAAATGAATTGAATAACACCCTTCGTTTGTTTGTCACGAAGGTGATTTCACAATCGTGTAGTCCCTTATTCTAGAAAGTCTGTCCTTCAGCCAGCCCTACTGATCCATACACTAGTTCTACATGTTAGCCTGACCTGTAATGAGAATATCGACCTACCTGAGCAAGGCACTTGCTTCTATAAGTGCACGTCTGGTAGTTCAATTATTACAATACTTGCGTTTGCATATAACTCCAGAACAGTCTGCTAACAAGAATATGTCCCTTTGACTAAAACCTGTTGGTTGAATAGCCTCGGGAGATTGTAACCAATCTTATGCACAGCCTACCTAAAAAATTTGACGTATATACCAAACCGTATAAAATATTGAACCCATCACATGTTCGCCCATCTTTTCCCTGATGTATGAAAACAATCGATACAATCAGCCACTTCTCCCGTGCCTCTAGCAACACAAGCGTAAACTTTCTCGACGGACTGTCAAAATGTTATTGGGGTAGAACCAATCATCTACCACGGTCTCCTTTTGCAAGATCTAGATAACCTGAATATTGTAGTAAGGAGCAACTGCTTTGCAGGCACTTCCGTAGACGTCCATTAGGACCAGACAGAATATTATTCACTTATTCATAGTAGAACATTCCAGGATTAGAACGTTCGATGCGAACCTCCGGTGAAGCAGACTGTAGTAGCTGCTTCGGTGTGTCAGAGAGTTTGCGCGTGTGCGTGTCCGTTCGTCGTTCCACCATCGATCTGACATGTGACTTGAGTGGCTGATTGGATGTGTGTCCGATTGGTTGGCTCGCGTGAGCGCTGTGGGTTGACTGGATATGTGACTCAGTTGTTTTGCTTGCCTGCCACGAAAGCGGACCAGTTTGGCCGCGTGTACCCAATACACCCGTGTCCGTACTTACGCGTTCTTCTGACTTACTGTGAACTACAATACTGGCGAGGGTCTGACGAACCCATCTTACCAAATGTCTATCGGAAAGCTAGAAGAATTTACTGCTACTGGAGGTTCCTGGAACCAATATGTGGAACGGGTGAATTGTTACTTTCTTGCTAACGAGATCACCGACGACAAGCGGAAAGTGAACATACTTCTTACCATTTGTGGTTCGGCGACATACAGTTTGATACGCAGCTTGGTCTCTCCTGATTTACCAAATACGAAAACTTTTGACGAGCTTGTGTTTATCGTTTCCAAGCATTACAATCCTAAACCTTCTGTTATCGCTCAGAGATTCAAGTTCAATACAAGGGTACAAAAGGAAGGAGAATCCATTGCGGATTTCGTAGCGGAATTACGGAGTCTTACGGAGCACTGTGACTACGGAGATTTTCGGAACGATATGCTCAGAGATCGATTGGTAGTTGGTGTGAGAAACGCCCGCATACAACAGTGTTTACTTGCTGACAGTAACTTAACTTTGGAAACGGCTTACGATACTGCGGTGGCATTGGAAGCAGCAGAAAATAACGCAACCTTGTTACAATCTGTGCAACCTACCGTGACATCAGAGTCGGTGGATTCATCGTATCAGGTGAATCGATTACAGCAACCGTCGAACAGAACACAGTTTAAGTGTTATCGTTGTGGAGGCCGTCACAATCATCCGAAGGATTGCCGGCACACACAAACTGTTTGCAATCGCTGTAAGAAACGAGGCCACCTCGCGAAAGTGTGCCGCTCAGCACCAGCGTTCGATACTAGCGCTGCTGTTACAAATCAAGTTACAAGGTCGGAAATCCCAGAATACGTCCTTCATGCAGCCGCTCCCACCAACCGCGTTCAACCGCCGTATCAAGTAGAACTACAGGTGAACAGTGCGCCAATGGTTTTCGAGCTGGATACGGGTAGTGCCGTAACACTATGCAGTGAAAAGTCATGGCAAGACAACCTGGGACCGACCGTGAAAGGTAACCTTCAGCAAGCCCCAGTCCGGCTTCGAACATATACAGGAGAAGAGGTGAAGTTGCTGGGGACGAAAAATGTGAATGTTTCATATAAGGGTGTGACGGTGAACGAAACCATATATATTGCTGAAGGAAGTGGTCCAAACCTGTTGGGACGTGATTGGCTTCAACAACTACCCATACTTACGTTAAACCAGGTCTCGACACTCCCGGAGGTTCAATCTCTTATCCGCAATTATGAAGAAGTATTTTCTGAGCCGAATACTGGCAAGTTCTCCGGGGGAAAGGTGAATATATACGTTCCGCCTGGAACACAACCGCGATTCCTGAAGGCTCGGTCATTGCCCTACTTGATGCGTCCAAAGGTTGAAGAAGAACTTAACCGTTTGCAACGGGAAGGAATAATTCAAAGCACGGAGTTCTCGGAGTGGGCCACACCAATCGTGCCAATACTGAAACCGGACGGCACAGTTAGAATTTGCGGTGACTATAAAACCACGGTCAATGCCAGCACACCCCCAGAACATTACCCGTTACCTAAAATCGAAGATGTCTATGCACAAATCGGTAAGAGCAAATATTTTTCAAAACTAGACCTAGCTCATGCTTATGAGCAATTGGAATTAACGGAGGAGGCGAAACCTGTTACAACCATCAGTACTCATAGAGGTCTGTTTATGTTTAATCGCCTTCCTTTTGGAATCCATTCCGCTCCATCCATATTTCAACGCACAATTGAAAATGTTATCGCGGGGATACCTAAAACGTTCGTCTATCTAGACGATATTCTGATAACCGGGTGTACCATTGAGGAGCATTTAAAGTTGCTGAAACTGGTACTCGATCGTTTGAAGGAGTGTGGACTACGAATAAAGAAAGAGAAGTGTGACTTCCTGGTAGATCATGTGGACTATTTGGGTTTCCGCATCAGTGCGGATGGTTTGGCCCCTCTAGCCGAGAAAATACGTCCAATATTAGAGGCACCGCAACCAAGGAATAAACATGAACTAAGATCTTTCTTGGGCATGGTTAATCACTATGCGAGGTTTATCCCGCAAGCTGCCACACTTTTTCACCCACTGAATTACTTGCTACGTCAGGGAGTCAGCTGGATTTGGAATCAAGAACAAGAGAAGGCGTTTCAACAGGCGAAACGTGCCCTTACGAATCCTCCGGTGCTTACTCATTTCGATTCAACACAGCCCATTGTTCTCGCTTGTGATGCTTCACCATATGGTGTTGGAGCTGTGTTATCGCAGAAGGATAAATCGGGAATCCTCAAACCAGTTGCTTACGCTTCACGATCTTTGTCGCCTTCTGAGAGGAATTACGCACAAATTGATAAGGAGGCATTGGCGATTCTGTTCGGAGTAACGCGCTTTCAGCACTACCTTTTCGGACAAACGTTCGACATATTTACGGACCACAAGCCTCTACTTGGAATTCTCGGAGAAAATAAACCAATACCTCAAATGACGTCGCCTAGAATGCAACGTTGGGCCTTAAAACTTGCATGCTATCGGTATCATTTGCGGTATGCTCCAGGACAAGGGAATCTCACAGCGGATGCCCTAAGTCGCCTACCATTACGAGATGTACCATTACACACACCGAAACCGGCCGAACTGGTAAATCTAATGAGTTGGGTTGATGATTTGCCTATCACTGCTGCGGAAATACGAGTAGAAACAAGAAAGGACCCAGAGCTCTCACGAGTCCTTCGTTTCACTTCATACGGGTGGCCGGAGAATGTTGGAAGTGCACTAAGCGGATTCTACGAACGATCGTCGGAGCTAAGTGTAGAAGACGGATGTTTATTATGGGGAGCAAGAGTGATAATTCCGAGGCGCTACCGTCCGGACATTTTAAGGGAATTACATTCAGGCCATCCAGGTAACACGCGAATGAAGGCTTTAGCCAGACACTATGTCTGGTGGCCTGGTATCGATCACGATGTGGAAATGGTCGTGCAAGGGTGTGAAGCGTGTCAGCAAAGTAGGGCTTTGCCCGCAGCAGCGCCCATATCACCATGGCAGTGGCCGTCACGACCGTGGAGCCGCATACACGTGGATTATTGTGGCCCTGTTGAAGGTTACATGATCCTGGTGATTGTCGATGCATATTCCAAGTGGATAGAGGCGATACCCACTAGAACTGCATCTAGTGCGTCGACCATGTCTATACTTCGCAGCGTTTTTGCATTGCATGGTGTGCCTGATACGATTGTTTCTGATAATGGCACGGCTTTTACCAGTGCGGAATTTCAGCAGTTTCTGAGAGCCAACGGGATTGAGCATGTTCTAACACCACCATACCATCCCGCTTCTAACGGCCTGGCGGAACGCGCGGTGGCAACGGTAAAGAATGGATTGAGAAAACAAAGCCCAGGTCCCCTACAAACAAGGTTGGACAAGTTTTTGCTGCAGTACAGAATTACGCCGCACACTACTACTGGTCAGGCTCCCTGCGAATTGCTAATGGGACGAAGACTTCGAACACGTTTGGATCTACTGCGGCCGGATTTGGCGCTTAGGGTCAAACAACAGCAGTGCTCCATGAAGCAAAACGCAGATAAACACGCCCGACCTCGCACATTACGAGATGGCGAGGAGGTTTACGTCAAACTTCAGCCTTCAGATAATGAATGGGTACGTGGATGTGTGAAGTCGACAAACCGTAACCTTATTGACATGCTGTTAGAAGACGGGAGGATAATACGCCGTCATTTAGACCATATCAGAACTAGGAAGCATGGACCGGATGCGGAACAAACACTGGAGACGCCAGTGCAGGTGGACTCCGGAGTGAAGCAAGAGAGCTTGGAAACACCCACAGATGCGCCAAGGTGTCTGCGGCGGTCGGCTAGGGAGTCAAGGCCGGTCGAACGTTATCAAGCTGGAGTTGGCTAAATCTAGCGGTGGAGGACTGTAGTAGCTGCTTCGGTGTGTCAGAGAGTTTGCGCGTGTGCGTGTCCGTTCGTCGTTCCACCATCGATCTGACATGTGACTTGAGTGGCTGATTGGATGTGTGTCCGATTGGTTGGCTCGCGTGAGCGCTGTGGGTTGACTGGATATGTGACTCAGTTGTTTTGCTTGCCTGCCACGAAAGCGGACCAGTTTGGCCGTGTGTACCCCAATACACCCGTGTCTGTACTTACGCGTTCTTCTGACTTACTGTGAACTACAATACAGACTAAATTAGTTGGATTGGCGAAGCATACAAACTTAAGATCTTCCCTCTGCTTTACATTGGAATTTGCGCTTTCATTGAACTAATAACGGAAAATCTTTGTTTGAAATAATTTAACCTAATTACAATCTAATTTAAAAGCCAACTGGTTCACTGTAGCTTCACTGGTAATTTTTTTGTTTGCCCCAATTTGACACTTGTTCCAATCTGTCTCACAAAAATTGGTTGAAACCCTATCACTATCACATTAATTTGGTGTACGGAGGCTATTTAGACTTACCCCAGTCAAATCTCATCTTGGTGCTTTCTTCAAATGAGTGTCAAAAGGTTTTCAGCAACCTTATAAGTAGTAGCAGTTAAAAGAAGAAGGCCTTCGCTGCGGAGTGTTTTGTTCGAAAATGCCAACTGATCGGTTACAGACCATTGAACAGGGAAGCATAACTCTAATCTGCATCTTAGTTACAAAACTGGACACCGTTCTTCTCCCGAACGAGTCCTCTTGAACATTCCTAGAGATTCATTGACTCCACTCATTCGTCGGTCAAATCCAAGCTAACGATACAAAGTGGCCCCACGAATTCCGCAACAGAATTCCCTTTTTCAGTCGACGCAAAGCGAAATTCTACGAACAACACATACTACTCGCGTGCCTCACCGTTACAGTAGTAGTA